ATAATCAATAGGAGGATTTCGGACATTATTTGGAAATTTTTTACTGACGACCTTGCGTAGTGAGTATTACCTTGACCGGTGGGTGGATAGGAGACTTGGATTGAAGGATTAAAGACTTGGATTTAAGAATAAGTAAAAAAAATAAACTTTAAAGTGCATCCTAAATATATCAAAAAATAATGGGTGTATTTAGTTAGGCGGAAAATATTTTCTAGGAAAATTTTGATTCTATTTTCCTGTGCTTGGTGACAACACTGGAAGGTGTGTGTACGTAGATTCACAAGCAAGAATAATTGAAATAGTCAAAAATTCTACTCCGTACTAGAGACTCCCTCGGTCACTAATTGAATGCAAAAGTCAAAACCGAACAAATATGCAGAGATGAAGGATAGTATTTCTAACTCAAATAAGCTTTACTCATTATGATGTTATGAGCCAAAGAACATACATGAGTTCAGTGGTTACCCAAAATGACTTAAAGCTAATGTGAGTTAACATACAATCAAATGACGAAAAGAATCCCCACTTTATCACAAGGAAGCTCGAGCGAGCTATGTTGAATGAATCTCTAGCTTCAGCCATGGAAGAATTTGCTTCTCATCTTTGGTTAGAATAATGAACATGAGCCTCAGCTTCATCATCTCCTGATACAGGATGCTTGCCAAAGGCTACTACCTGCAAGATGAATCCGGTACGTGGTCGATATCTTTTTCAACACAAATCTCAAACAGTAGCCTCCAAAGAAGAAGAGTATATAGTTACGGAGTTGTAATTATATATAAGGACAATGCATTACTCGATCATTGCCTGAATCAGAAACCAATGTTGTTTTCATCCGCTTCACGCTTTGCAAATTCTCAGACGTTTTGGTGGCTTCAAGATCGCCATCAACAAAGTTTTGATCTGTGACCTCTGGCAAGAGAGCGGAACAACATCATTTAGGCATGTATTAGGCCATTCAACCTATTCTATTAGTGTAAAAATTCAAATGTTTGTCAAGTAGAAACAACAACAACAACAACAAAGTCTTATCCCACTAGGTGAGGTTAGCTACATGGATCAAACGATTTCATTGCGTCCTATCGTGTATCATATCAAGTAGAAACATTAGCTTATATTGATTTAAGTATAGGTAAGATATTTTGAAATAGGCCAAATAGCTCTCGTGCCACTTGTGTTTTGGAAAATTGGAACAATATCTCCTTTGTTTTAAGAACTTATTTCTAAAGTTCTTGTGTTTTAAAACGTTGCACCCACACCCCCTTTGATCATTTTTCGGTCACTTTCCGACGAAGAGGGGCATTATTGCCTAATTTGTAATCATAAGGGATACTCGTGCTCATTTCTTATTTTTCGCTTATTATTTTGTTTTTTTCTTTTTTAACTCTTTTTTTTAACTTTTTTATCTTTTTCTTAAGAAGTTATTTAAATTTCTTTTCGGTTTTTTTGAATTGTTTTTAAACATTCAAAATTCTTTGTGTTTGAAATAAAAATAAAAAATTAGCATATACTCCATCTATGTCAAATTAAAAAAAGTTAAAAAAGAGCTTTTGGGCCACATTTCATCTATCTCAAATTAAATATTTTCACTTTTTATTTTCTAGAATAATTTTTTTGGGAAGTTCAAAAAGAAAATCCAGAATAAAAAAATAAAAATAAAATATGTAAAAATGAAATGAAAAAATTAAAACATGCCAAAAAGAGTCTTATACAAAAAGAAATTTTCAAAATGCCTAAAAAAATCTTAGAATTGGGATGTCCAAAAAGGATTTATTTTATTTTCTATTTTATTTTATTTCTTATTTTATTCTTCATTTTTTGAAGTTCACAAAAAAAGTTTTTACTTTTTTATTTCGGAAAATAAAAAATTAAAATTGTTAATTTGAGATCTACAGATGTAGTACTCTGTATATGTTAATTATTTTTTTTCAAAAAAAAATATTTTAAATTTTGAGAAAATTATAAAAACATTTTTAAAAAGAAATTTAGAAAACCCTTGATTAATAAAAGAAACAAATAATGGAAAAAAAGGGGGAAAACAAAAAATAAACGAAAAATAAGAAATAAGCCCCAGTTCCCCATATGGTTTGGAAAATTGGCACCAAGGCCACCAACACCCCGTCTTCGGCGAAAAAATTGCCGTCAGAGGGTGTATGAGTGCAACGTTTTAAAACCACAAGTACTTTAGAAATAACTTTTGAAAATAATGGAGGTATTGGTGCATATTTTCCAAATCATTGGGGGTACTAGTGCTATTTGGCCTTTGGAAATATATATGGTTTAGAACTCGTGTTTTGTTTAAAAAGGGTTTTTTTCAAAGCAACACATTCATCAATTATCATAATAGTAGTTAGATAAACTAGTGGCACTACTTTCAAATGTTGGCAAAGTTTAGTGGTTCGGAAATGATTGGAAATGGAAAGTTTTGTTACCTGACATCTTGGTTCCTTCTTTCTTTTTTTGTTAAATCTTATGTCGTACTCCATCCATCCCAAAATTATATTTCTCATTGCGCGTTATGATGTTTGTCTGAAGTTATTTTCAAATCATTTTATATGAAAATTGGTGTGGAATTAAAATGTAAAATTTACATATTTAAAAACTATATCAATAGATATACAAAAAAATAAGTAAAGTGATTACTATTTTATCAAATGGGCAACAAAAAGAGGCGATCATGAAGATCAAATAAGTAAAGTGATTATTATTTTATCAAATGGGTAAAGTGATTATTATTTTATCAAATGAGCAACGAGCTGAGGAGCAACAACGCCTGCAATTCATCATCTAAAACCAATTTCATTGAAGACAACTGGTTAATCAATCCCTGAAAATCATTCAAATGCTCTACCACACTATGCCCATCCCTGTAATCAAGTTTCACAAGTCTTCTCATAATAGAGGCTTTATTCAGGGCATTTTCTCTCTCGTACATGCATTTGAGTTTCTCCCACAGTTCATAGGCGTTGGTATCATTAGCAACATGCTGAAACACACTATCATCAATAAATTGCCTAATCATTCCCACAGTTTTCCGATTAAGCAATTTCCAAGTACCTTCTTGTTTATCGCTTGGCATCTCTTTATTCAGGATCGGTTCATGCAAATCCTTAATATATAAAATATCTTCCATCCTGGGTTTCCAACTTTGATAATTGGAGGAGTTTAATTTAATCATTCCCCCAAAAACAGCTTTATCCTCCATTTTAACAACACAAGAAAATCACCCACAAATTATGACTCAAGCTCCGATACCAATTGTTGGGAAAATCACCTCAATTTTCTAGCGGAAGCAATTAATAATTTTCCCGTCTTTGTGTTGTGAAAATGGGTAAAATCATATGACCAATCAAGAATAGCAAACACAACAACAAGCAATCAATCAAGCGATAAACGAACACCAAGATTTAACGTGGAAACCCCAAATCGGGGAGAAAACCACGAAGCCTTCCACGAATCACCAAGAAAATCAGTGGGTACACCAAGAATCCTCTCTAAATCAATTAGAGGTACACACAATCATCAAGTAATAACTTGAAACACCAAACAACAATAATCTTCACTCAAAAGTGAGAAAACCCCAATAAAAACGCAGCAGTAAACAGAGGCGATTTTACTGACATCGAGAGGTCAAAACAACAATCCCACCGTTGGATATGAAGAAGAGGATCTCAGGAACAACATACTAAAATTTCATCCCGATCGGAGCTCGTTTGGTCGTTGATCGGAGCACAAAACCAGGCTGCACCTCTCTTTTTCTCTCTTCTTCCTTCTCTCGGCTCTCTCTATTTTCTTCTCTGTTTTTCTGCTGTTTTTTTCTTCTGCTCGTGAGTCGTGACCAGCCACAAAAGGCTTTTGCCTTTTCTACAAAGTGGCAGCCCCAAAGGTAAGTGGTAGCCCCCACCACTTTGACCCATTTCTTTCTTTATAACAATAATAATAATAAATATTATTATTATTATTATTATTATTATTATTATTATTATTATTATTATTATTATTATTATTATAATACTCCACCTCTAAACAAATTACATTTTAACACCAAATGTATTGTTTAGAAACTCCTTCCTCCATGTAGGAGGGATACCCCAACAAGATGTGAGCATTAATTATGTGATATGATGCAAGCAAGATTTGAGAAACCTGGCCAGAAGGGGAATGCTTTTGTCTCAAGATTGTAGGATTTGACACACATTTATTTCGAGAGTACCGACCAAATGAGTCCAAGGAATCGTATAACTGGTTGACAAAATACGTCTCCATAGACCAGAGGTACATACTATGTTTCTCATTCGTCCATTCAGTTTTCTCTGATTTTATCATTTGGGGTCTCTGTCATGAACAAATACAAACTGAGAACCAAATAAAACTCCATACAACATTGCGGCAGCAAACAAAAGCTTAGGTTCAATGGATATAAAAATTTGAACGAAATGACGAATTTATCAAGGCAGTGGCTCAAATGCCTAAATTAGCTCCACCCTCGGAGTATTCGTTGTGAATTTTCTTTAAAATACAAAGTAGATAATATCCAAGATTGTAAAAGGTTAGGACTTATGAGAAAATAGATAAAGCCTACATTTGCCCAAATCGGGTCGTTAGTTCTTGTATTCTCAAAATAGGACTAATTTTTTCCTAGAAAAAAAAAGATCAACTACTTTTCTTTCATTAAGTTACAAAAGAAGTATTCTCGGCTGCTTCAATAATTTCCTGGGTTTAAAGTGTTTGAACTAAACCTGCAATTCAAACACTGCCATGAATAAATTCAGAATTGGAGCAGAAAAAATCAAACGAACCACATTCTTAAAGACGCAAATGATCTCTAATTTTCCTACCGATTAGCAAGATCAGAAACCCTAACAAGCAACGAACAAGTTCAAACACATGAATATTCAACAAAACACAAGCCAATCTGAATTCAACGATCAAAACAAGAAATCCACAACGAAGAGATATAAGAAAAGGAAATTAAAATAAAATAGAGTAACAGATAAAATCAACCTCAGCAGAAGAACTAGCTTCTTGTTCATCCAGATTCATTTTGTTTTCTGATTCAACTAAAGCTTTCATCTCCAGATATTATTAGCAAACAGGGGACATTCGAACTTTTTTTTTTGCAGGGGAAGCTAAAATAATGTTACGCTTGGAACTTAAAACGCTGAAAAAGAGCGCCAGCTGGCACTGCATAAACACGTGGCACCTAACCACCGCCTCCCATACTCCCATGGAAGAATATGGCCTCGGAAATGACGGCCAGATATTTTGAAAGCGCCTACCCCAAAAAATAGGAAAATGATAGGGGCACACCAAAAGTGTACCCCAAACATCCCCACCCCCTCCATAACCACAAAAAAAAACAAAAAATTTCAAAAAAAAAATAAAAAATAAAAATAAAATAAAATGAATGGTAGAAAGGGGAGTGGTGTACATTTGGGGTAGCATATCCCCAAAAAATATCAGCCCGTTACCAACAAAATATCTTCTCCTTTTTTGTGTTTTTTATTTTGAAAATTCCATATAAAGTCTCCGGTTATAGATCGTTTTACATATTTAGTCCTTATATATCAAATATTATTAATTTAGTTCCTAATTAAATTTCCGTTAATAATGTGGATAAAATTGTAAATTCACATTCGTCTCTCTCCTCAATTAAGCTTCCTCCCTCTTCTCGTACTCTTTCTCAAGCTCATCGCTGAGTTTGAAGCTCTAAACCCAAAACTGAAATAATCATTCCTCTCTCAATTATTAGTCTTCATGATGGAACCTAAAATCAAAACCAATAAACTTTATGGATGAGTTTTATCAGTTAGTCTCAAGAAATTGCAAAGAAAATAAACAATAAAACTCATCCATGAAGGTTACTGGTTTCGAATTTGGGTTCCACCAGTTAGACAAACAATTTAGAGAAGAGTGATGATTTCGGTTTTGGGTTCAAAGCTTCAAACTCAGCGACGGGTTTGAGAAAAGAGTGCGAGGGAAGGAAGGAAGATTAATTGAGGAGAGAAAGAAGTGTGAATTTACAATTTTATCTACGTTCTTAACGAAAATATTAACAAAGAACCATTCGTGGAAATGAATATAATAATTGGGGACTAAATTAGTAATATTTGATATGTAGGGACTAAATATATAAAACGATCTATAACTGAAAACCTTTTATGGAATTTACTCTTTTATTTTTTGGCTCAAAATATCTTCCCATTAGACTAATGTGTGTATGTAAATCATGTCACCATGCTCATTAGTGTGCGTGTGAGTTTTTCTCTTTCCTTTCACATCTCATACTTAAATAAGGGTGTGAATCACGTCTAATTTTGTTTGTTTATTTTTTTCTTATTTATGTATATCAAAATTTCATAAAGTAAAAATATTAAATAAATATTTTATTAACATTAAAATTACCATTAGAATGACATATGCGATAAAACAATAGGCAGAATGAAAAGAAGCACAATTATTCAAAAGGGTTAAGAAATTTATTCGTCATTCAAAAGTGGTGTAGAGAAATTCCACAAATGCTCGACCAAATCCGCACGGAGGTTCTGTAACGACCCGAAAATCGACTTAGTAGTTAGTCGTAACTTTCTTAAAAATAAAATAATAATTATTTACTCAAAAATATGAATTATTTATAAAGTTGACCGTTTTATTTTAAAATTAGGTTTTCGGGTAGATCTCGTAAAATGGTGACCGTCAGTATATAATTTGTTAAATTTGGACTTACGTGTAAAGCATGATGAGTTAAATTCAGGTTACAATTCAATAAGCAAATATAAAGCTTTTATAATAAAATAATATTACATATTATATTTCCTCAATATAAATGCCCTACTTAGCTTCTACCCGTAGAAGATTACGAACCCCCCCTATATATGCAAATTATATCCTACAACTGGTTGTACGGGAAAAACCGTACAGCTGGTGGAAATTAGCATAGATCCGATCGGATTGGGAGCAGAGAACCAAATTCAGATTCTTGTCCCCAAAGCGTCAATATCCAGCGAGGGCTCTCCGTTCGCCTCAACCCGTGGGTCCAGGTGCTCTGTTTGATTCCCTCGCTGCTATGCTCAATTGAAGAACAGGGCTTCGTTCTCCCTTGTCGCGTCCAACATTGATCGAAGAAGAACAGGAAACCCTCCTCCAATCCGTCCTCCGTTAGCCTCTCGTCCTAGAAGAATACAGTCCTCCGTTGTCTCTGTCTCTCAAACATGACTCAAGTAGAACAACTTTTTCAAGTTTTACTTGAGAATGAGCATTTTTTTATTTGAGAAAGAGTAATACTTTTTTTAAGAATGAACATTACACTATTTATTATAAATATATTAAACAAATGTGTTAAAATGAGTACTTCGTTATTTCAAAATGAGTACTGCGTTATTTAAGAATATGTATTATGTTATTTCAAACGAATACTTACTTTTGCGTGAGAATGAGTACTACTTACTTCAGAATGAGTACTACTCGGATGTACCTATCTCTAGGTACATCTGGATGTACCATATACACTTTCCCTTATATATCATAGGCGTCACAACAAAGAAGAAAAAAAAAAAGAAACAGAACAGATCGCAGAAAGGCAAAAAACAAAGAAAAAGAAAGATACAGACGACGTATAGAGTCTGGACAGTACCAAGGTACCGTGTCGGTACCAAGGTGCCGGACCAAGTACCGCCTGACACCCAGGGTTTGTCCGTGAATCTGTGTTTTTCACCCAGGATTGATTCCGAGACTTTGTTGGTTGCATGACGGTGAGCTAGGGTACTTGTACCCAATGACGGGCCACTATTTGAATGAGATGATTATTTTTTTAATATATTGTGGTTATATCTCGAAGTATGTTAGACCTTGTAAGGGTATAATATATTAATGGAGTTAATGTACCTAGAAGAACTCTAGTGTGGACTTAACAGTATAGTGGCAAGAAATGCCGTAAGAATAAGTTGGTTAGAAGTCATGTGGTACCTGCTGGGTCCAATGGCTACCGGGTTCAAACGTACACATGGGGATCTATGAACTGTCGTTCTGAAGGGGACAGGGATCTCACCAACCCAACGAGGAACTCTTGAGTTGGTTTAAGCTTGGCCTTCCTTCCGAAGGAGAAAGTCATGACTCCCATAGGAAAGTAACGAGAACAAGCTTTAGCCTAGATTAGGTTATGAGCTAAGTAAATAGAAAGTCAGGAATTTATTGGTATGTGTTGTATAGATCTTTTTATCTTGTATTCCTTGTGCATGTGCATGTAATTGCTATGACTGTTATGTGCATGATATCATGCGATGTTATGGGTTAGTGAGGTCGTCTATAGATGCAACTGAAACGTTAGATTTTTCTCACTTAGCTTCAATGCTGAACATGTAGAGTTTGTTCTTTTGTTGCACGTAGGTAATCCAGGAAATGATGAACTTGGAGCCAATCCTGGAAGACGATGATGATGAGGAGATGTGTGTGACTGTCTTTGATGATTTTGAATAGTTATTTATTATCTAATGATTTATTAATTTTTATGGGATTTATTCCCAAGTTGTGTTTTAAATGATGACTTCAGCTTTTGCAAATGTTTTAATTAGTACTCTAATAGATGTTAAATTATTTTTCTTAAGTGATTGTTTTTAATTGTTTTTGAAAGTTGTAGAGTTAAGATTCCAGATTGGTAGTAACCCCGTTCGCTGGCCCATGTATTCGGGTTATGAAGATTGGGGTGTTATATTTTGGTATTGGAGCTCAGAATTTTAAAACTGATCTTCGGATCACAAACAAACGGTTTCCAAAAAAGTTGCACCACATCTCCTGCGACTCATCAGCCTCGGGAAGGTAATAAGTTTATAGCTTTGTTTATTATGTGTTGTTCACTAACTAGCAAACTTATGTCTAAAATCTAGAATGAGTGAACCATCAACTCACGGACACGACAACACCAGTAAGTAGGCGACAAGCACGGCGATGCCCATATGGAGGCATCCAGTTTCGTGCCTCATTAGAACGTTGGATAGCCTAACATAAGTTTGAACGCAGAAAATAATCAGAACAACTGGAACGAGCATGAGTTCACCATGTCGCCCTTCATGGCTCCGTTTCTGTAACAAATGGCGAACGCGCCGATGTTCCAGCCGACTCCTCCGCCGCTGCCACGTCAGATCACTTTCAAAACTTTAAAGGACAACGGAGAAAAAGAGTTCCTTTGAGACCATGTTGCTGAACCACATGTTGTGCTCCATTGGATTGACCAAGTGGCTAGAATGCAAAGTGACCTGAATGTCCCGCTAGGAGACCACCCTAGGCTGGCATCTCAATTGCTCCGGAAGGGGGCCGAATGGTGGAAATGCGTCGACTGCGATCTGCAGACGTCAAAACTTTGGACGTGGGCCTACTATGATTGGGCCTTCAAGAAAGAGTATCTACCAACCCGCTTCTCGGAATAGAAGCGTACAGAGTTCATGGAACTACAACAAGGGAGCATGGCCCTTGCCGAACTAAAACAGAAGATTGAGCATCTCGTTCAGTTTGCACCTACGCTGGTATCCACATCAGCATATCAGATCGAGGAGTTCCGGAAGAAGCTAAGCACTGATGTTTGACCGTACGTGTCCATATTGACCACCACTAGTTTCTCTGAGGCGTACGATCTGATGGCGAAGGCTGAGAAGGACATGGATGATTACAAGGCAAGCCTAAGTGCTGCAGAGGCTAGACCAAGAACCCGACCAACGGCCAGTGTGACACTGAGCGGTAAGATTCCATTTGGGGGTACCAAGGGTACCCAAAACTCCAAGAAGACCAAGTTTGCGCCGGCTCAGTCTTAGGCAGCTAGCAATAGACAAAAACTATCAAGGAACCCGGTTTGCAATCTATGTGAAAGGAATCATCTTAGTGACTGTTGGTTCACGCATGGCCTGTGACTAGGTTCTGGGAAGGAGGAGCATTTCCGTTAGGGCTTTCCTACCAACCCAGGACTAGCCTTTCCTGTTGGAACACACTTTTTATTACGTTAAACTAAAGTGGTGTTCATTTCTGACAGGTTTTGATAATTGCCAAACCGCTGTGGATATGAAGAGTTTCATTGAACAACTCAAGGAGTGAAGAATGGCATGGAACAAGACCAAAAGACTCAAGGACAAAGATCAAGAGTTGAAGACTTAGTCGAGTCGGTCTTATTGTGATCAAAACCGACAATCAATTCAAGTTTTGGTTCTCAAAGAGTCAAAATATTTTTACAAAATCATAAAACGTTTTTTCAACAAAATAAACTTTTTTAATAAAGTTTTAATGTTCTAAAAAACCTGGTCCTTGCCCAGACCAAAAACCACCTCGGTCGGCGTTCGACGTCCGGAATTCGGGGTTCGGCATTTGGTTTTCGGCATCCGAACCAACTCGGTGGTTTTCAATATTTTAAACCTCGTTTTTACCTCTAGGCATATTTAAAAGGCTCCGAAACAAATTTTTTATAAAAACTACTTTTGTATCTTGGTCAATCGGTCTAACACGTGAAAAACGGTCAAAACCGTACACACGTGAAAAACGTTCAAAACCGTACACACGTGACAAACGACCTCGAAGACTTGGTTTTTATCAAACAAGTCTTGGTTTCACTATTTTATACCATATACAATGTTTTTCAAACTTGGTTTTTACTTTTGGGAACACTTCATTTTTGGACCTCGACTTTTTGGGTTAAGATTCTCGCCGGATGGTTTTAGCCAGCTGAAAATCGATTGTCAGCTAATGACATTCGAATATTAGGTACTGCAGTTTCTGAACTCAAAGTTCAGAACCATTCAATAGTCGACTGACACAAGTTGTCACTCGATTGTCCGAGTTTCTTGTTCAAACCTAGAAACTTCTGAGAGGCCTGATAGTCGAGTGACAAAATGTGACAATCGACTATCAGTGTTACCGTTTCCCTCCAATGGATAGAATTTTAAATTTTTGGACACGGAATCTTTTGATACTCGATTATCAAGCTTTGACAATCGACTATTGCTCTGTGTCTCTGAAAATTTTGTTCTGATCCTGTTGGAAACTTTGCAACAAGTTTATCCCATTTTAGGCTATAAAATGGCACCCAAATCCTCTCATTTTACACACAATTCTTCAACATTTCAATACTCTTTCATTGCATAAGCATTCCTATTTTTTCTTAGCTATTTTAGAGCCAATCTTGAAGAAATTGTCGTGTTCTTGAGCGTTTACTAGTTCACTCATATCTACTCTTTGTGAGAGTTTTATTCTTGAGTGTTTAAGTGTTTCTATACACTTTAAGAGAGGTTGTTCCCTTGTTGTAAACTCGAAGGAAGTCTTTTGTTCCTTCGTGAGAAGTCTTAGAGTGCAGTATCTCCGAGCAAAGGCGTTGAGGCTTGTGTGACTCGGGTTCTCAAGTTGTATCAGTTTGTTGAGCACCTTTAAGCTTAACGGAGTTAGTGTAACTCGAGAGAGTCTCTCGGGAGGCTGGATTAGCCACACGTTGTGGTGAACCCGGATAAAATTCGGTGTGCTCCTTCCTTATGCTCTTTACTTTATCGCTCTCGTTTTTAATTTCCTGCGATTTTGTTAAAACGCTATTCAACCCCCTCTAGCGTTGGGCCTATTTTCTAACATTTCCCACATGCGAAGTCCAGACACCATCAGCTGCTTAGAGGCCAGCACAGAGTTAGAGATCTACGGCGGGTTCGAACCTGCGGAGAGGCTAGAACAAGAACCAATGCTAGAACCGTCAGCACGAACGTACTCCCACACGCACCTACGCCATGCAAGGGAATATTGAGGTCACCTGTGATGTCATCCTGGGTATGTTTTCATTATTTCATAATCATATGCTTGCACTTATTGATCTAGGATATACGTTATCTTATATTTGCATCCCAATGCCGAAGAAATCTGACATCTAGAGAGGCGATCTAGAATACCCCATGATCGTATCTAACCCGTTAGGGCACAACATGTGAATTCACCACCTATTTTGAAACGGTTCGCTGTTGCCTGAGGGACATTGACTGCCTGCGAAGCTAATTGAGTTACCATAAAATGAGTTTGATATTATACATGGTATGGACTGGTTGACGAAACACCAAACAATAATAAATTGTGGACTGCATATTGTACAGTTAAAGACCGATGACGGTAACTAAGCTTTTACTACTCGATTTGAAGCGCTGGGACACGCCGCCCCTCTCTTTAGACCGTCCTTGTTCCCGACCAGCTCCTTTTGCTACCAAAGCTTGACTGTTATTTGATACTTCGTTGCCACCCCTTCGAGTCTCGTTCATCAACAACGCAGCAACTACTTCATCAAATCTTAAGGTCTCTTTTCCAAACAAGAGCATGGTCATGATGTTGTCAAAAGATGAAGGCAATGAAGCCAACAAAAGCAGCGCCTTGTCCTCCTCTTCAATCTTCACATCAATGGATTCCAACTCTGTTGAAATCTTGTTGAACTCATACAAGTGTCCATTAAAGTTAGCTTCCTCCGCCATTTGGAGACCGAACAATCGTTTCTTCAAGTATAGCCTACTTGTCAACGATTTCGACTTGTACCGGCTCTCCAGCTTGTCCCAAATATCCACTGGGTCCGTCAAACCGAGAACCTCCCGAAGAGTATTATTAGCAAGGCTGCCAAGGCATAGGCATATTGTACATGTTTCCATGTTCTTTAAATCCTCCCACTCTTCTTTCGACAATTTTTCTGGTTTTTTGTTCTTCCGGTGTTTGGCCCACTCACCATCCGTCATTTTTTCTGTCCTCTGAACCTTCACCTTCAGAGCTTTGATTGTCCCTTCCCGAGTAAGAACACTTTTTACTCGCTGTTTCCATAGAGTAAAATTGCCACGTCCATCGAATGGTTCTGTTGGACATGAGTTCAAACCCTTTTAGATAAAATTAATCTTTCAGGTTTTGATAAATGACAAACGCAACGAAGAACGAACATATACTTTTCGGTTCAAGAAAGAAAAAGACACATCAAGAAATTCTTGACTACCGGTTATTATCCCTTCGCAAGATATTGAAGTAAAGAGAAGCCTTCCGAAGACTTTTATTTCTTTGAGTCTAGGAAACTTGTAAGGATGACAAAATATCTTTTTACTTAAATTTTACTTTATTGAGGGATATACATTAAAAATTTATATTTATTTTTGGAGTCAATTGAAAAATCCTTTAAATGATTCAAAAATAAATTTATTGAGTCAGTTACAAAAGTTGTGTCAAACAATTTTTAAATAATCTTATTACTTTTTAGAAAATTTTTTTGGGAAGCAAAAATATTTTTCCCCAAAATTCTTTTTCATCATTTGACACACAAAATATTTTTTGGACTCCATTTCTATACCCCAAATCACAAATCACCCCATTTATTCAAAATTTTATTTTTGAATAAAACATGGATGTGATTGGGAGCCTTTGTCTCAAGAATCATGTTGGAACCAACAAGATATGGACAATTGTCCTTCATCAACTCGCCATTGATTGATTCTTGCTGTCTCCGCCAAATTCGCAGTATTAATCGATTTCCTCTTTGTGCAAAAATCGATTTCTATTGTTTCGCAGAATTGAGTTCTCTCGCCCAGTTTTTTAATCGATTAGATCACCTTTGGTGAAATCGGTTTCTGCCAAAAATCGATTAAAGTCTTCTCTATTTAATCGAATAGCTACCTGTTGCGCAGAAGAAATTTTACTCAGCAGCACCTAATCGATTTTACCACTTTTGTAAAAATTGATTTTTTGTCCGTTGCATCCCATACTCAGCCTAATTCTTGCCCCAACGGACATATCCATTTTTCACCTATAAAATCCCTCTTCCTCCTTCATTCTATATACAATATAAGCACTTCAATCCTGTCATTCATCACTTTTGATTCTTGCTCCATCTCTTGATAATCAAATACTATTTTGAAAGATAGATATATATATATTTGAGTGCAAAGATATTGTCATCCATAGAGCTTACACTTTAAACACTACTTGCTCATTTGTGAGCCTTATTTCTTGTGTTGTTAAACTCATCTTGTTTTGAATGTTGTTCTTAAGACTTGTGTGACTCAAGTCTTAGTGTTGTAAGAAAGTGAGGCTTGTGTGATTCAAATTCTCAAGTTGTACCGGTTTTTCAAGCACCCGTTGAAGTTTGAAGATTAGTAGGACTTTCGAGAGAGTCTCTAGGAGGACAGGATTAGCCACGAGGTGGTGAACCAGTATAAATCTCAGTGTTCTTCTTTCCCTTACTGTTTAAATTTTTTCCTGCGATTTTTATTTCACACACGCGAAAAACGCACATTCTTGATAACAACTCTATTCACCCCTCCTCTAGAGTTGCACATTTGTCTAACAGGTTCGACAGAAACATTCGAACTTTTTAGTGATGCCATTTCTCAAGTTCTTCGACTTTTTTCTCTTACCGCTTAGAAATCCCTTCGCCGCAAATGTAACTTGGCTCTGATACCAATTGTTGGGATTTTAAGCGCGTAAGAGTCTTAAAATATCAAGAACGTGAAAAATAAATAAACACACTACGCAAGAAAAAAATATGAGA